GCACTGCTGTGTCCTTCACAGCACTATGTGGCCATCCCCCCATACACACTACAGCTTTTCTGCTTGTTTCATATTTCCAATTTATTCAGGTGGCAGAGCATCTAGAAATCATGCTGTTCTTTATGAAGCACCATGAAATACCTAATTTCATGTTTAATTGCATCATATGGACAAGGAAAAAATAGTCCTGTGTTGTATGAATGCACCGTAAAATTTCAACTACATGCAAACTCCTATCTGTGAAAACAACAAGCTATGGGGCCAGGCGTGATCAGATGGTCGAGTTTTTCTGTTAATATTTGTTTGTTTCCTATGCATTCATTTTGTCATCTGCTAGCACCCACTAGCAGGTGGGCACTGAGAGCTTAATTAATATGAGGAAGAGAAACCTTACAATTGAGAATTCAACTCACTATCTTTTCCTGATAATCAGGGAAAGCTGACTATTCTTTAGACAGTTCAGGAAGGGAACCCCTCAGTCTAGGCTCAGATGGGCTCTGTGGGAGCACAGTTTGTCCCTCACTGACTCCCTGGAGCCTGGTATGGCTGGGACTGCAGAGGCAGGAGGGGCCCTGGTGGGTGCTTCCTGTCTACGCCCTCCTGTCTCCACAGCAGGCAGCTGGCTGAACAGGCCACGGATGGGGGGCCCTCTGGATAAATGTCCACCCTAACCAGAAAGGAGGTCCATGGGTGGCGCAAATGTTTTACTCTTGGCTGCCAACGGATAGGTTGGTGGTTTGAACCCACTCAGCCACGCCACAAAAGACAGTCCTGATGACCTGCTTCCATAAAGTTGTTTTGTTTTTTTATCGTGCTTTAGGTAAAAGTTTACAGAGCAAATTAGTTTCTCATTAAACAGTTAACACACAAACTGTTTTGTGACATTGGTTGATAACCCTGCAATGAGTCAACACTCTCCCCTTTCCATCCTGGGTTCCCTGTTTCCATTTGTCAAGTTTTCCTGTTCCTTCCTGCTTTTTCGTCTTTGCTTTGGGGCTGGGGTGCCCATTAGTCTCATATACATGATTGAACACTGAAGCACGTCCCTCACGTGTGTTATTGCTGGCTCTAAAGACCTGTCTAATCTTTGGCTGAAGGGGGAACCTCAGGAGTGACTTCAGTACTGAGTTAAAAGGGTGTCTAGGAGCCATACTCTCGAGGTTTCTCCTGTCTCTGTCCAACCAGCAAGCCTGGTTTTTTTTTGGGTGTGTGAATTTGAATTTTGTTCCACATTTTTCTCCCACCCTGTCCGAGACCCTCTATTGTGATCCCTGCCAGAGCAGTCGGTGGTGGTAACTGGGTACCATCTAGTTGTTCTGGGCTCAGTCTGGTGGAGGTTGTGGTAGTTGTGGTCCATTAGTCCTTTGGGCTAATCTTTCCCTTGTGTCTTTGGTTTTCTTCATTCCCCTTTGTCCAGCCAAGATGGGACCAGTAGCTGTATCTTAGATGGCCACTCGCAGGTTTTTAAGACCCCAGACGCTACTCACCACAGTCGGATGCAAGACGTTTTCTTTGTAGACCATGTTATGTCAATTGAGCTAGACGTCCCCTGAGATGCTTCCATAAAGATTACAGCCAAGAAAACCCTATAGAGCAGTTCTACTCTGTAACACATGGGGTTGCCAAGAGTTAGAATCAACTCAATAGCAACTGGTTTGACTTTTGGTTTTCACAAAAAAGGGGAGGCCCAGCCCTTAGGGAGGTTTGTCTGCTTGGGGTTTTGTTGGGTGGTTTAATTTAAAAAAAAAAAATCCCACAGGGAAGAAAATAACCCCATTTAGGAAAGAATGACAGAATTTTCTCCAGAATTTCCCACTGTGAGGTATTCTTGGGGGTATAGTGTGGGTACAAGGTTCCCAAAGGCACTGGACCAGGTTCATTCCTCGCCCTGCACCCCTTTTTGCCCCTGGGCCTCCGTGCGGCTGTTGCCGATCATGCAGCTCACGGAGAGGGCTAGTCCTTCCTGGCCAATCCTGTGACCTCTCACTTCAGTCTTAAACTCTCTCTATAAAAAGAGTTTGTCGTCCTTCAAATACAAATAAGGTTCAGTCAGGCTAGCGCCTCAGCTGTGCTGTTTGTTTGCTTTTTATGACTCTGTGGTCAAGGCAATTCAGATATTTGTCATTTTTGGCCAAAACAAATACATTGAGCACTTCAAAACTAGGTACAAGGTTTTGGAATCGAGCTAAGTTAGACTGTATTGATAATTATAAAAACATTGAACATTTCCTTCAAAAAAAACCCAAACCTGCTGCCATCGAGTCGGTTCCGACTCATAGCAACCCTGTAGGACAGAGTAGAACTGCCCCATAGGGTTTTCGAGGCTGTTATTTTTACGGAAGCAGACTACCACATCTTTCTCCCGCAGAGTGGCCAGTGGGTTTGAACCATCGACATTTCAGTTAGCAGACGAGCACTTAATCGCTGCACCACCAGGGCTCCTCCTGCGAGGGGAGAGACCCTGGAAATTGTTTCCTCATTTAGTGACAATGATGCATCTGACGTTGTGGCCACGCCCTCCACATCTCACCCCCGGGTGGCAACAGAGGAAGGGGGAGGCCCCCATGTCCTTCCTGTCCCTGTCTCAAGGAGCCCTGGTGGCACAGTGCTTAAGAGCTCGGCTGCTAACCAAAAGGTCAGCAGTTCGAATCCACCAGCTGCTCTTTGGAAACCCTATGAGGCAGTTCCACTCCGTCCTATCGGGTCGCTGTGAGTCGGAACCAACTCGATGGCCACAGGTTTAGGTTAGGTTAACCATCTCATAGGTCCTGGTCAGCCAGACACAGACAGAAAGATACAAGCAAAGGCACTTCCCTCTCTCTCTGCTACAAGAGAATAAAACTCCAAATCCATGTGTTTTTAAAACCATTTTAAAATAACTATAGTTCTGGAGTTTTTTGGACTAATTTTCAGAAGGCAGCTGTTAGTGGTTAGATCTTGATTTTAAATAAATGCAGATTTACTTTCAAGCATAGCCAGTAATTCAACCTGCTTCTTTAAAAATAATACTGTTAATTGAAAGTCTTACTGGCTCTGTTTCAGCAAATAATAAGAACTCTATTCTTATCTATAGGACAGAGTAGAATTGCCCCACTGGGTTTCCTAGGTTATAACCTTCACAGAAGCGGACTGCCACATCTTTCTTCCCTGGAGCAGCTGGTGGGTTCAAACCACTGACCTTTTGGTTAGCAGCCCAGCACTTAACCACTGCACCGCCAGGGCTCCTTATAAAGTTTTTAAGAGTCTCTTAAGTAGGTTACAAATTCTCTTCTGAAATCATGATTATGCTTGACAAGCTTTGTCTTGATGGTCTAGCTCTGACAAAACTGAAAATCCAGAATTTGTAGAATTTAAGTAGAATGGCAATGAAGGAATGGGAGGTAAGTCAGAGGCATTTTGAAAAGTGCTGGCCTGATGCACATCGAGGCATTAGATATGTTTCTCACGGGACAGTGTCAGGAGTTCATAGCCACCTTTACACAAGGCCTACCCTGACACCTGCATTAGGAGGGAGGCCCCTACCTCCTCAGGGTAAATAATGTAATGCTCTGAGCCTCCTTTCTTCTTTAAGCTTATAGTTTCGAGGATCAGTGGTCTGGTAGGAAACAGCACTGAATGGGGAAGTAGGAGGCTGGGTTCCCATTCCAGTTCTGTCTTCTGCAGGCTGTCTGACCCTGAACAGGACATTTCTCCTTTCTGAGCCATCTGAAAATTAGGAAATTGAAGCTCTGTTGACCGTATCAGACAAATAACCATTGGGCTGGGTCCCAAGAGAGCTGAACGCACTTGGACATAGGACATTCTCATAGAATGTTAGAGCTAGACAGGTCATTTCCCCAGAGAAGAGAAGGGTCGCACAGCTAATTAGAGACAGAATGAGATTTGAACCCAGGTTTCCTTACTCCTAGTTCAAAAACTCAAAGGAAGTACATTTCATCTCCCCGGCATCACATAACTCCCAGATGTGTTGCTGCGTTGGGTCTCTGTCTTGCCCACTCGTCAAAACTGCTCTGGATTAAGCAGCTAAGACCTTCCACTCTTTGCATGCAAAATTCTGCTCGCACCAGTGGCTCCTCTGAGACCTGAAATGGGCAGGTTCTGAGCCAGTCCTTCCCCTAAACTCGCCCTCTAGGAGCAGGAGAGAAATGGGGGGTCTGTGTTCCTGAGGTTACCCTCACTTTGGAATCTCAAGGAATAAGAAACTTTGGGATGAATTTCTCAGAGATCACTTAATCTCATCTTCCAGGTTATTGAATTATCCAATAAATTTAGCAAGAAGGTCCTGCGGTGGGGGTGGAGGGATAGGGGGAAAGAAGTTCATGGGAAGAAACTTCTGGGCTGGATTGGAGCTCCTGGTATCTGGTCTGCAGTCAGCACAGAAAGCGGGCTCTGCCCCTAGGGCTGGCTCATCAGTGGATGAGTGGAGATCCCATCTTTTCCAAAATGAAAAACAAACAAAACATTGCCTTTCTTCTTAGATGCAATCCAAGCCACCCAGCTTGGAATGTGAACAAACAGGATTAAATGAAAGTGAGGGTGCTAGACAAACCCTAAACACCATGCACATGGAAAACATTAGCAGTTTTTCCCCTGCCTGGTATCTCGTTGGACAGTCTCCAAAGTCCAGCTCAAATGTCATTACCAAAGATCCCGTCAGAACAACCTGGGTTCAGATTCTGGCTCCACCACCTATCTGCTGTGTGACCTTGAACGAGTGGTTTAACTTCTTTAGGCTTCGGTTTCTTCCCCTGCAAATGGGGGATCTTAATAATAATCATTTTATAGGGTGATGGAGGGTTGAACCAAGGTCACACTTGCAAAGGCTCCAGCACAGCGCCTGGCAGAGAGTAGGTACTCTGTAAATGGTGAATGAATAACAAAGGAACCAGAAGTACCCATCTCTTGTAGTCTGACCAGGAAGTTTGTACTCTTCAGCCCTGGCTTCCCCTCCTACCTGCTCACCCCAGAGGAGCTAGAGAAGCCTGGCCAGCCTGTCTTACCTTGCTGAGGTCCCCCAGGGCCATGACCTTGACCATGGGCCTCCGGCTGAGCTGCTCCTTCACCCAGAGCTCGAGCTGCTTGTTCCATTTCATGGTGAACACATAGAGGGCATAGGCCAACAGCAGCAACAGGCTCTCCCACCAGGCAATGAAGCTGTCTAGGAAGAAGAGGATGAGCATCATCAGGTCAAGGATGTAGAAGGAGATGTCACGGAACAAGGGCCACCAGGTGAGACGAAGGATCTCCCGGGAGAAGAGGGCACAGGTGCCGATGACAAAGAGGATGTTGAACACAGCGGAGCCCACGATGGTGCCAATGCCCACATTGCTGTGGGAGATGAAGACACCGATGAGGGAGGTGAAAAGCTCAGGGGCAGAGCCCCCAGCAGCCATGAACGTGGCGCCTGCCACATCCTCAGAGATCTGCAGCTTGTCTGTGATGACGCCCAGGGCTGGGACAAAGTACTCGTCACACACGATGGCCAAGGCCATGAACACGTACATCATGCCGAAGATGTGCAAGACCACCCAGCCCTGCTGCCGCTCCTGCACACTGAACAGGTCCGGGGGGTACTCCGCCTTGGGGTGGAGGTCTGAGGGGCTGGAAGGTGGCACTGAGGGGCTGCGACCGGGCTCCTCTGTTGTCAGGCTGGGGGAGGGGGTGGTGGGTACAGCAGGCATTGGCTCCACAGCCACACAATGATGGACCTGGGTGGTCTGATTTGCCCCGACCCTGGGGGTTACTGAGGTGCTGGGTGCTAAGGAAGCTTTCTTCGCCAGCCCCCAGAAGGTGGCTGAGGCTATTCCGATGGTTGGTACGCTGGTGCTGGGTAAGGAATTCCTAACACTCCAGGGGACAGTGGAGGCTTCAGTTTCCGCTGGCTTGGTGCTTATCGTCACTCGCCCCTCAGAAATGGCTGGGGTGTGCTCCAGGACTGCTCCCTGGGGAGTTGTTGGGTTTTTCTTCCCCACTAGCCCCCAGGGTTTGGTTGAGCTGTTATTTTCCACTCTTCCGGGGGTAGTCAGGGTGTTCTTTTCCACTACATTCCTTGGAGAAGTCAAGATGTTCCTTTCTACTTCATTTGTCAGGAAAACTGGGGTATTATCAGCTACTCCCTTGAGAGTAGTTGCGGTGTTTTCCTCTACTATTCTCTTGGGGGTATTGGTTCCCATTATTTTGTGGGTCACCATAGTTTCGCTATCTTTCACTGCTGTCCTGGGGGTGATCACATGGCTCATTTTCATTGTCATGAATATGGATGAAGCATAATTGTCTACTGTTCTACCAGGTGGGGATGGGGTGTATTTCTTCACCTTTTTGCTGACTTGAGTTGGGTGGGAGCTCTTCATTTCTCCCCTGGGTGTTGTTGGGGTATAATTCTTTACTGTTTGTCTACCTGAAGTTAGGGTGTAATGATTCAATACTCTACTGGGTGTGGTTGGGGTGCTTTCCTTCACTCTTTCTGTGCCTGTCGCTGTTGGGCTGTAATTATTCTTGGGTTTTGTTGGAGTGATGTTGGCTGTTCTTCTTGGTGAACTGGGGGTGTTTTCCATGGTTATGCCAGGCGTTGCTTTATACCTGCCCACCGTGGCTTGAGGCACCAGCATCTCACCCTCCATTTTAGAGCTAGCTTCTGGAGGGTCACTACTCACCATCACCATCTCATCATTGGAGAGGTCCTGGATGGCCAGTTTTACCGGGTGTTGGGAAGAGACTGCTTCCCACAGTCGGGGGAGACCCCAGGGGCTATTCAGGTGCTGGAAAATGGAACCAATGAGGAACATTCCCAATAGGAAGAGGAGGCGACTCCAATGAAGCCTCTTTGGCCGGAGTACCCGCCTCTCCTGCGCCCCCATCCTGATCAGTTTCCCCATGGTGGCTAGTTGTGTCTGGTTACAAAAGGCTTCTCATTCTGTCCATGGAAAGATGGGGGCTGCTCTGGGATTCAGGTTGGTGATTAGGGCAAGTTTCACCATGAAACCCAGCCAGGTGGTAGCCACAAACCTTAAAAAAAAAAAAAAAAGAAAAAAACGGTTATTTGCCCCTAAGAGGAGAGCTGGGACCCACCACACCTTCATCTGGAAAAAAAAAAAAGTAAGGATGGAAGCCCCTGGGGGACACAAAAGTATCATGTAGAAGCCTTTTGTGGTGAAGGGCACTTGTTTTTGTTAGAGCAAAATTGCCCCACCCCCTTCTCTAGAGAGTAATGCCTAGTCTTGGGAAAAAGAGTAGCTGGTGGTCCTCTCTGCTAGTCACCCTTTCTGTTTGGGTATCAGCAGCCCAAGTTCCTGAGCTGGGTCCTGGGTGCTCTATGGAGTCTATCCTGTTCTCCTTGGGCTCCCTGCAGAAGGGCTATTAGCACTCTTCAGGCTCCAAGCCTGAGTTGCTGGGAGCTCAGTCTTCTGAGGTTGGTGCCCCAGGCCACAGGTTTCACCCCATCAAAGGCAGAAGGGAGGGAGGGAGGCATGACTTTAAGCCTCAGACCAAACGAAGAGGCAGTAGAAGGTACTGGCGGGAACATCAAGGCTCCACGTGTTTCTCTGGACTGACGTAAAACAATCCCACTGCATCAACCAGAGAGGACAAAGCTTGGAAGTTAATGTCATGGACTTTCCCAGACAGTGTGGTGTGGTGGGAGGAACTGCAGTATGGAGTCAAAGCCTGGATTCCCAGCTCTGCTGCTTACCAGCTGTGTCACCCTGGACAGGCGGAGCCTGGGTGCTTCATCTGTGAAATGGACATGATAACACATATGTTGATTACACAAAGCATTGTACAGAATCACGTGCTATGTAATAGTCTGGAATGCAGGAGGGAAGAACATAAAAGGCCCTCAAAAAAACTCTCATTTTATAAGGAAGGACATGAGACCCAGCTCAACTGAATATTTAATAAACCTCTAATCAATGTCCACAGACTTACAGAACTACAACCAGAAACGTTTGGTTTTACATATGATAATAATGTATTAGAAGTGAGCTGAGTAACCCATAGAATCTTAGTGTTCAAGGTAGAAAGAATTACCGACACTGTCTAGGGTAACCCCTCGTTTGAAACATTAGGAAACCAAGGTCCAGAGAGAAGTGACTTGCTCAATGTCACACAGCTAGTGAGCAGCAGAGCAGATGAGTCTCCTAATTCCCCAGTCTTTCCAGCAAACCACACTAATTAGAGAAGCAAATATAATTGTCCTAAAAAGAAAAAGAGGGTGGGCAGAAGAAGAAGTAAGGAATAAGTGAACTTCCTTTCTTGTCCTTGATTCCTATTATTTTCTTTCACCAGCTCACCGCCCTGCCCCCTGCCATGGACAAAGCACTGTGTGGCAAGCTCATTTGAATCCCCTAAAAAAATTTAGAGGGTCCCTCTCTTTCTGGTGTGCCTGTGTTCTATAACAGAGCTGAGCTGGCACCCCAGCTGATCCCTCCTACCTATCACACCATTTACCTTCAAACCTCGACATCTGGGGGTCTTCTCAGTTCTGGAAACTCATCAGAATCCAGGGTCTCGAAGAGTGGGTCTGAAGCTGGCCAACAGGGAACACCCCATTCTCCTGCCCCCAGTTCCCCTGTGGAATGCTGTTCATGGCAGGGTCAGGTGTGAAGGGCATGTCAGGGGAAGAATATCCAATCCTGGCTAATACCCACCTCCCCTAAGAAGCTTATCAGGGCATTGTACAAGTTCTGGGTCCCGGTGCCTCTGACAGAGCCTGAAGGGGTGGACCTTCCACCAGGGACGCAGACGGGGGCTCTCTGTGGGCCCCCAAAGCTGGGTGAACTTCTCAAGCTTGTTTCTAAACTATGGGAATGATAGGTGGTCCAGGGTTTCCCTGATTAAACCCGTTGCCGTCAAGTAGATTCTGACTCATAGTGACCCTACAGGACATAGTAGAACTGCCTCCATAGGGTTTCTAAGCCTGGAATCTTTACGGAATCAGACTGCCACGTCCTTCTCCTACAGAGCAGCTGGTGGGTTTGAACTGCCAAACTTTCGGTTAGCAGTCAAGTGCTTTAACCACTGTGCCATCAGGGATCCTTATGTTTTCATAGTGACCCTATAAGATATATATACATACACACATATATATATACACACACACACATACCTTGCTTTTATTATTATTGTCTAAGTAAGCAGGACTGTGTATATATGTGTGTATGTGTACACACACGCACACACACGGCACAGTGGTTAAAGCACTCAGCTTTCTCTGTGGGAGAAAGATGTGGCAGTCACTTATGTAAATATTTACAGCCTTGGAAACCCTATGCGGCAGTTCTCCTCTGTCCTATAGGGTCACTGTAAGTCACAATCGGCTCAACGGCAGTGGGTTTTGTTTTGGGTTTTACGTATATGTACACACACATATATACCTTGCTTCGATAATTACTAAGTAAGTAGGACTGTGCATATATGTGTATGTATATACACACATACATATACGTACACACATATATACATACACACATATATCCACGCACATATATCTTGCTTTTTTTATTATTGTCTACTTAGGACTGTGTCTGTATGTGTGTATGTATACACACATATATATGCATACACATATACACACTGCAGAACAGTATAGCATTATCACACGAACACATACGTAGAGAACATTTTGCAAATCATATGTCAGATCACATAAGAATGGCTGTACTTTTGTAACCAGTGGATGCTGAACGAACAAAAGCAAGCAGCCAAATAAGAACATCCCGGTACTCCATCTCTCACAGCCAGTGGCTGCAAACAGACTTGCGGTAGGAAGATTCATGTGGTTACCTCCAGGAGAGGAAACATTTATTTTTCACTTTATATACAATTTCGAAACTGTTTGAATTCATAAATATGAATTACTTTTACAATGAAAAAAACCTAGTTTTGTTTTATCTACTTTTTCATTAAAAGATGCTACCAAGGTATTAAGATGTTAGTTACAATGAGATGAGAGGGTAAGGGGTGAGCCTGGTGAAATAGGTAGGGGCCTAGATCATAAGGGGTCTTAAACTTTTAGCATTTATAAAACTTCAAAGGAGAAGGTGTCCCAAGTGAAGAAGCTCAGTCCTACTTACTTAGACAAATGTGGTGTCTTCCAGAATGTCTCTGCTTTCCCCTTTGACTTTTTTTGCTAATAATCTCTCTTCTTTCTCTCCTGTCTTCTTTCCACAGACGCATATTCAGTGTTGACGCCGGGCACCAGGGATTGGTGGTAAGTAAGGCCCACTCCTATTTACAGAGCAGAGGAAAGTTCACTGGCATTGTGTAAAAGCCTTCCTTTGCTCTGTGAGTCTCTCTATTATTTTAGAATAGCGAGAAACTTGGTGGTTTTCTCATATGTTGTGGAAAAGACTGAAGGAGGATTGATAGCGATTAAAAGCAAGGGTCACAGTTTCTTCAACAAATACATTACAAGGGAAAAGAGATGGAGGTAGACACCAACAGATCAAGAGAGACTTACAAGATTGCAATGGAATGGACTTTATTTGAATCCTGATTCAAACAACCGAAGTGTGAAAAAGTAAACTTTATGGTATTTATGAGATGACTGAATATTTGAAAGCTGACTGGATATCTGATGATATTAAGGATTTATTGCTAATTATTTTTGATAATGGTATTGTAACTATGATTTTTAAAAAGTCTTTCTCTTTTAGGGATACATACTGAAACATTTATGGATAAAATGTTATGGTATCTGGGATCTGCATCAAAATAACACGTTGTACGGGGAAGCAGGTACGGGTATAAATAAAACAAGACTGGGTATGACTGGACAGTGAAGCTGTGTACCATGACGGGCACCTGGGAATTTACTATGCCATTCTTCCTACCTTTGTCTAGTGTGAAAATTTCTATGATAAAATTTTTTTTGAAAGAGAGGGGGTCAGATCTAGGATTTCTCAGGACTTTCACTTTGGTGAAAAGGGTGGAATGGTCACAGGGATGGGAAAACGGAATAGCTTGGACCTTGAAAGTATGATTTGGGAGTGGATGAGGAGGCAGGAAGGAAGATGGACAAGGAGAGGGGAGATAAGAACAAAAGGGATGTGGGTCCATCTTTCCCTTTCTCTTCCCGTTTCCTCCATCACTCACGCCTTACCTTTCATCTCTGTAAATGAAGTCATCTTGGGAACTTAACACCAAAGGTTTCCCAGCCACCAACCCCTGAAATTTCAATTCAGTCGGCAGAACCTGGAATCTGCACTTTCAACAAGTGGCCTAGGAGATTTGGATAGCTGGACCTCCCTTTGAGCTCACTAACCTTTACTCTGCCTGAGTGAATACCAAGCCGCTCTGCCTTTCAAAGCCTCTAGGACAGCAGTTCACTGTTTCAAAGCAGGAAAAAAATAAAGTGGGTGAGAGATTGTGCAAAGGAAGGTAAGTATTGATTTCCTTTAATGTGTGTGCAGAAAGGGGGGGTGGGGCGGGAAATAGAAAGCCGCGCAGGGAGAAAGGAAAGGATCTACATAGCCAGGGCTCGGCGAGGTGAGCGAGGGACTTGAGGGGACGAGAAGAGCCGTCACGGACAGAACACCGTGCAGCGAAGCGCCGAGAAGGACGCGCCCCCTAGCGTTCCTGCTGGGCCGTCGCTCCACTCCCGTCGGCCCTTAAAGCCCCGCCCCCGTCAGCCCTTAAAGCCCCGCCCCCGTCCTTCGCGCAGTCCCGGGGCCGCCGGCTTCCCTTTCGTCGCGCGGCCGCTTAGTTCCGGCTGTGGAGCGCGAGCGGAAAGATTTTACGGACGGACTGTGGCCGGCGATGGGCGCGGGGTGAGTGGGGGAGGCGGGGGCTTCGAGCTGTCTTTCGTTGTTTGTTGGGGCTGCGGGTCCGCGGTTTGGGGTAGGGAAGAACATGGGACCAGCGCCCGGCCTCCCCGCTG